TGTCAAAGACAGATGGATTTTTTTAAACAGGACATGCGATGCAAGCAGAGTAAAGATAACAACTGATAAATTAAACTACAACAAAATGTAAAACATCTACATAATAAAAGGCACTGTAAACCACAATTCAAAGATAATTCACAGACCAGGGGGAGCATTGCTGATACTCAAAAACAATAAATGATCAAAACCTAGAATGTAAAAAGCTCCTACAAATTAATAAGAAAAAGATAAAGAACCCAAGAGAATAAATAGATAAAAGCTATGAAAAGGCATTTCACAGAAGAGGACCCAGAGGACCAGTAAACATGGAAAGATTGTCACCTTCCTGAATAGTCGGGAAGATAACAAATAAAAATACCAATGAAATACCATTTTGCATACAGCCAACTGGCAACAGAGTTCGAGTTGACAGGTCTTGATGCCAGCAAAGATGCAGAGAGATGGAAGACTCCTGTCACCAACGTGAGGAACACAAGCACAAGCTCTCTGGAGAGCAACTTGAGAATACTAGTAAGGTGAAAGTGCCCACCTCTCTGTACCTATCCTAAAACAACTCACTCATGTACATAAGGGGACAGCCACAGAACGTATGCAGTGACATTGTTTATAATCATGAGAAGTTTCAATAAACTCAGCAAACCACAGGATGGCCAGAGATTAGTCATGGCATATTCCTGTAATGAAAGATGCCATCACAGGTCAAATGAATGAAGGGAAACAATAGACATCAAAGTGAAGAGAAATAACAATATATAGCATTGAATAAAAGGCAAGTTGCACCATGATCTGAAGAGTTTAGCCACAATTTTGCAAACTATAATTAACATGTAATATATACACTACAAATTTTAATATACATGTAGCACTTACATGTAGTATATAAATGTTACCTTATATTTACATAAACATGATTTAATTTTGATTAAATTAATTACAATATTTTAGTTAAGCTTAAAGTTTAGAGAATGTAAACTTTATATTAAATATAAATTTTAATTATATACTATGAGTTAATATCTTTAAGTTTATGTTTTATGTGAATATGTATTAGAAAGGTGAAATATATGTATAACAGTAACAAACCTCACCATAGTACATGCCTCTGAGAGGGTTAGAACTCAGAGGGACATAAAAGGAATTTTACGGTTTGTTTTTCTTAAAAATTAAAGAAGTCTGGGCAGAAGGTACATAAGCCTATTTAGTATTATTTTTTCCTAATATTTTTATTTTTAAAATTTCTACAGACTGTAAGTATATATGAAAGCCTCCTAGTTTCACTCTCACAAGGGAAGCGAGGGCTGGTTGAGCAGCAGTGGGGTAGGACCTGTGCTCTAGGGTCTGGTGCAGGGCCAGGCTAAGGGAAGGATAGGCGCTTATTAATGAAGTGCCTGTGGACCTGCCTGGTCAGGGGTAGAAAGAAGACTCTCAGAACATCCTCAAAGGAGATGTAGGTCTTAGGAGTCTGTGAAAGGTCAAAGGAACCAATGCAGAGGGGATCTTTCTGAATAAAGGAGATAATCCAAAATCCATTTCAATTTGGCTTAGGAAAATGTATCCATGCCCTCTCTTTAAGGCCGAGGTGTCTGGCATTCTGAGAAGTGACACTGCAATCGAATGACAAAGGGGAGAGCCAGTTCAACAAGTCAGTGAGCTGGACAGCTCCCCGGGTGCTCATTCAGCACCTTCCTTCCCTCCAGGCCAAGCCAGAGATGGAAGCTCCATCTCTGGGATCCTTCTAGACCTGGTTCATGGAAACTTGGGTAAGTCACTTTCCTCTTGTACTCCTATTTTCATATCCGGGAAGCTAAGGTGTTAGACAAAATAGTCTCTTATGTCTCTTCAATTCAATGAAACACATGGGCCTATAAGAGCGTTTGTGCCCTGAATGTGCATATACACCCAGAGAGCCACTGTGTCCCTGTTTCACTAAACTGTGTTAGCATCATCTTCTTATGGTTCTTGCTAGTGATGTTGTTAGATGAATTAACAATGAGCTGAATAGGGTTGGGGGAAGGGATGAGGGAATTATTCAATAAATTCATCCAACATAACTATCTACAGAAGGGTCAGCTTTGATTAAGCACAGCTCTATAGAAATTATCCTACCTCTTCCTAGCTCTGTGATCACTGATAAGCTTTTAACCAGTACTCTGCCTCAATTTCCTCTTGTGCAAATATAAAATAATATCCCTCTTTTTTCATCATCGAAGGGAGAATAAAAGGAGATAATGTCTATAGAATCACATATAGAAACCACAAAGTAGGCAGTACTCAGTAAATGATCATCTCTGTGTATTTATGTTGGCACATGGGTGTTTATCTGTGTGTGTTTATGTCTATATACAGGTGTTTATCTGTATGTATTGATATCCATTTCTCCAAGCAGTCTTGAATCTGCCCAAGAGTATCCAGGGGAAAAAATAATGATTAGATTTATCAAGCGAAATTTTCCAGGCTGCCTTTCTGACTCCAGGCAAGTGAGTACTTGGCACGGTTTTCAGCTTTCACAATAACAGCAGTTTCAACATCCCCAGCACGTCAGCGCTGGGGGATGCCTCTTTGTCTGTGTTCTGGCTGGCTTTCGAAAATGTCTAGGCCTCCCCTGTTATGCTTATAAGATGCTTGTGGTATGTTTAGGGTGAGAAAGCCCAGGTAAAGAGATCGCCTACCATTTTCTCTTCTTCATGTCCCCATAAGCAATCAGCATACATCCCTGGGGTTTGACAGTGAATTGACTGGGCCCTTAGAATCCCATGAGCCATACCCCAAGCCCCGGGCCCTCCTTTACTCTAAATCTCTCTAACCCTCTTGTTCATTTTCGACTCTAGCTTCATTTGCCAGAGTTTTCAGTTGTACCCCTTATAAGTGTAAACTTTGCCCAAAGTTGAGCTACGCAATAAACGTAACTTTTAAATTTTGTTCTTTTCTCTTTCCCATAATTCAACTACATTCCTTTTGTTGGACTCCTTGTTCCACAAGGGTAGCTATACAGTTTTGGTGCTTTGGGAGTTATCAATCTTCCAGAGATTTATTCCAGAATTGTTCAGCTCTCAGTCCATATTCTGATTTGAATCTGAAACATGCCCCAAAAGCTCACATGTTGAAGTCTTGTGTCTCTAGTGAAGCACTGTTTGGGGAGTGTGGGCAGCCTTTGTCAGGTGATTGGATCACAAGGTTCTCAGCTCATCAACTGGTTGATCCACTGATGGATTCATAACTTATTGAGAAGTGGTGAGAACTTGACTAGATGGGACCTATTGGAGGAAGTAGATAATTGGGGGCGGGGCCCTGAAGGTTTTGTCAGAATGTTGGCTCCTCCCCCTCTCTCAGCTTCCTGGCCACCATGAAGTAAGCAGCTTTGCTCCATCACATGCTTCCGCCATGGTGCTCTGTCTCGCCCCAGGTCCAGAAGCAAAGGGGGTCAAGTGAGGGTGGACTGAAACCTCTGAAACCACGAACCAAAATAAATCCTCCTTTAAATTATTTCTCTTAGGTATTTTGTTACAGAGACAGAAAAATGACTAACACCATCTAAAAGGTCAGACAGATGCTGAATCATATCTTACTCCACCCAGGGGACCCCTTGGTTGTGCTTAGTAAAGGTCTGTGGCTTGAAGGCCAGTCTAATTTCCAGGGATCCCTAGATTCTCATGTGAGACAACCTGCTTAGATGAACCTTGCACCCTCTTTCCCTCTGGGTCTTGCCTCCTAAGAACCCACTGGAAAGGCAGCCCAGTCCTCGCTGCTCCCAGATTCCACAATTCTATCTTGAATCTGTCCTGACTCCCTGTCCCACCACAAAACCTATTCCAACGACTAGTCACCTTTTCCTTTCTCCCACCCCCCCCACCCAGCTACTTTTTGGTTCTCTTTCTGTCAGCTGGGAGTATCATTTTCCAATCTGAAAATTTGGGAAATACCATAAAGAAAAACATTCAATTAATATTTTACACATTTCATCCTTCCATATATATCTGCATGAGTTACTTGTATCTGTGCCCAGATTTAGTATATAGGAAAGTGGAAGGGAAGGAAATGGTCCTCTATCGGTGTTGTTAATTTATTTCCTGACACACTTGAGTTTCTACCAGATGCCAGCACTCTGGCAAGCACTGAGAATCTAGAAATGAATTTAACAAGGCCTCTGCTTTCTAGATGCTCCCAGTCTTTGGGCAAAGACAGCCAAGAAAATGAATGACTGAAATGCAATGTGGTCAGTGTAATAAAGGGATACACATCAGTTACACAAACCAAGGAGATGAAAGAAGATGAGATCAATTCAGATGGGTAGGGTGATAAAGGGAAGGATATTCAGAAAATCTTTCCAGAATAGATGCTGTCTTAATCTATTTTCTGTTACTAACAACAGTAATACAAACAAGTAATGAAAAAAGAGATTTTTTTTTGGCTCACATTTCTGGTCCAAGATGAAGGCCACACATCTAGTGATGGCCTTCTAGCTGTAAGAGTTCAGGGACAGGACAGGACATCACATGGCAAGACACAGGGAGTGTGCATGCATTTTCTCTCTCTCTCTCTCTCTCTCTCTCTCTCTCTCTCTCTCTCTCTCTCCCCCCCCCATCTATAAAACCACCAGGATTTAATTATGAGGGCTCCACTCTAATGACCTTGTCTCATTCATCAACTCCCCAAGTCCCATGTCTAAGCACCATAGTTGGATTAAGTTTCCACCTTATTAATATCTCACAATGGGGATTAAACAACATGAGTTTTGGAGAGGGAAAATCATAGTCAAGCCATAGCAGAGGCAGAAAAGCCCCCTTAACCAAAAGTAACCATTTCTTCTCCTCCCTGAAGGCACTAGCAGCCACACTCATAAAATGTTGCTGGCATTTCCCACTAGAATTGCCATATGAGCAAGTCCCAAAAATAAATGCTTAGTGAAGTTAAGGTCTTATATTATCAGGAAAGAGTAACACATTAGCCTACAAATATACTAGGAAGATTTATTTATGATTAATTATTAATATGACCCATTTGCATCCAGGAGAACTGGCAATTTAAGGAGGGCTAGGTCCTAGTTGAAGAGAGCACAGACGGAAGGTATGAGCATGGAGTCCACTCTAGGCCCACCTTCCTAGGGCCTGATAGGGATTCTGTTCCAGTGATCTGTGGGGAGCACATTCTCAGAAGAAGAGCCAGGGGAGCAGGATAGGATGGGGAAACAAGCAAGTCAGTTTGTTTTGGCACTGATCCAACCAGGAGGCAAGAAGTCTGAGTCTGCCAGCAGTGCAGGGTCACTTTCCTGATGAGCAGGTTCCCAGGGCTGAAAGGGAGACATCGGTGAAGCATTTGCAGCAGAGGACGAGAGCGGCAGGGCACCCACCGCACGCACTTCAGCCAGGGACCAGTGCAGAGTCTGCGGTGCCCTCAGGGGTGCTCCAGGGAGGCATTGGATAGGATATTTGGAAATAAAGAGAAAAAGAGGTCAGAAGAGGAAAGAAATGAAATGACGTGTTAATGGTGCCAGACACTGACTGTGTGCACAAACGTGTGCCTGTGTATGTGTGTGTGCTTGCACCAGGGACCCTCCCATCAACCTGGGAGATTCCTAAGGTCAGTTCCTAACAGACTCCAACTTTTCTCCTCTAGCAGCTCACTGAGGAGAGGAAGCATGTTCTGCTCCTTGTTCTGCACTCACAGAATATTCAGCATAGACTCTAGCAGAGGAAGTGGGCCCCAAAGCCCTGACTATGGACCACAAAATCCCAGATCCCACTCTCCAGATCACAAAGTACCGCCATGGGTTCTGCATCTACTTCTGGACCCTAATCAGATCTCAGCTTTAATCTCCAGCAATTCCAGCACAATCTGGAGCAAGATACTTACACCAAAATTTCAAACACAGGCCAAGCCTCACCTCCAGAAAACACATCATGCTCCCTGTCTCTGTACCAAAGCTGCACTATGCTGAGAAAGATATCACTGCCATTCTGAGAGGTGGGCCTTCACCTTGGCTTTGAGGGGAAAAAATCCAAAGCAAATATAGTGATTGACTCTTCAGAATTAGTGCATAACAAATGGTTATGCAAAAATGAGTCCCCCCAAATCACTATGGTTCATCAAGCATGACCTACCCAGTCCTGGTGTTCCTTGAGCTGGACCAAAGTCCTTCCTTCTAAAATAAGATACTAGCCAGTTCCCACCCAATTCAAATAAATGAACAAAAATTTCTGTTTACATCATCCCTCCATTATGTTTTTTTCCAGATGTCTGTTGGTTCTTGGCTGGTAAAAGCTCCTAGGCAAAGAAACACATAAAGCAAGAATTAACTACATATCAGTAGAAAACTTTGAGAGAGGCCGTTGCATCTGGCTCATGCTCATTGAATGCAAATTGAGGTTCTAATTTTATATTCCATAAAGAAAATATTACAGTCACTGCCACCTTTAACCCTATTGTGCTTTAGGTCTCAAGCTGCCAGATACTTGATTTCTAGGATGCTCTCATGTAATTTAAATGTTAATGTCCCTGTTTACAAATAAATACATAAATAGATAAACTGAGGCACAGAATCTGAAGCTAATAAAATGCATACCCAAAAAATAATTGGTGAAATATGTAAGAAGATAACATCAATTGTGATGAAGGCATATGACAGAGAGACCAAAACTAGGTCAACTGAGGTGTCCCTGAGGAAGTGATTTATAAATAAGAGTTGAACAAAGAGCTAGGGTATAGGAGCAAAGAAAACTGCATTTGAAAAACCCCTCTCCTGGGCTAGGGATATAGCTCATTTTGTAGAGTACTTGCCTAACACATGCAAAGTCCTGAGTTCAATCCCTGGTACCATAAAACAAAAACAAAAACAAATAATAACCAAAAAACCCTGTGCTAAATGGTGTAGCCACTTTGGAAAGCAGTCTGGCAATTACACAGAAGATTAAACACAGAGTTACCCTAAGACCTTAGCAAGTCTACTCCTTAACTGTCTACTGAAGTGAAAATATATGTCCACAAAAACACTTGTACACAAATGTTCATTTCGCATCATTCGTAATAGCCAAAGAGCACCATCAACCCAATTATCCTTCAACAGAATGGATAAATAAAATGTGGTATATCTACACCATGGAATATTATCCATCAAAAAAGGAATGAAGTATTAATACATGCTACAACATGGATTAAAACATGTTGAAAACATGCTAAGTGAAAGAAGCCAGATACATACCATACAACTCCATTTATATGAAATATCCAGCAGAAGAAAAATCTATAGAGACAGAGAGTAGATTAGTTATTATAGGGCTGCAGGGAGAGTGACTAATGGGGGCATGGAACTGGGGGATGAAAATGAGGAAGATTTATTGTCTTGGTTGTTACACAAATCTGTGAAATATATATATATATATATATATATATATATATAATATGCCAACACAATAAATATATATACACACATATATGTATACTGAACACTATTAAATTATATATGTAGATGGATTTTATGGTGTGTGAATGTCATAATAGAGCTGTTATAAAAATGAACTAAAACCACCTGTTCTGTGGCAAGAGGAGGAGTGAGTAAGGTGATTCCACTAATCAGGGGGAAGTTAGATCTCTAGATCTTTGTCCCCAGCCTATGTCCTCTAGGTCTGTGTCCTCCATCAGCGTATTACCCCAGCCCCTGTTGTTCACCAGGATTCCTTGGAATAGTATTCATGGTCTCTTCCTCGAACTACGCCAGTGTCAACCTACCCTTCACATTGCATTTTCTGGGAATGGCTTCAAACAAAATGAATTTCACTTGAAATTGGAAGAGAATTGCCCAACTAAAACAGAAGAAGTAGGCTCAGGGAACAAGTTAGGCAAACAACCTCACAACTTAGAGTCTGTTATTTGCAGGGTCAGAATAGACTCTGGTTTGCTGTTTGCTCAGTGAGTAGATGGCAGAAACATACTATTCTCCCTAGAGGATAGAGTCAACTGGGCCTCAGAGTAAAGGAAAGACTTCAAAGAAAGCCTCTTTCTGAAAGATAATCTTATAAAGCTATTAAAATATACCAGGAGAGAGGGAAAACATGAATGAAGCCAAAGTATGGACAGAGACAATGCCACAGTAAAACTTTCTAGAAAATTTTGCTTCCCCCACTCATATGCCCCCAAGACTATTTTATTCCCAATATACCTCTTTGGTAAACTAGAAGAAATCTACCTTTATGTTTTCCCAGAATTGCATCATTTGATAGTGTTGGTATGTTGAGAAGACTGGAGGGAGGTACCCTCAAAAAGCTTCAAGATGTCTGGGAAGACAAAAGTGGTCCTTCAACCAGGCCGAGCACTATTGGGAGGAGATTGGAGCAGGAGTTTGAGAAAACCTCAAAGAGGATGCAAGTGCTAGCCAGTCTAAGATTTTTAGTCAATGTTTTTTCTACAATTAGAGTAAATTTGAGGGTCAAAATTCCTCTAAACACAATGACAAGAATTTCTCATCTTGTATGCAAACAGAGTAGTCATTGTGACTTAAATTCAAACACCGTTCCACGTTGTTTTCCTTCATATTCTTCTCTGCCACCTTAGTCACTGCTGCATCAACCACATTAGCTAAATTGAACAGTCTGAATGCAACACCCTGACTGTCCCCCGCCCCAAATAAGGCTACCACTCACTCTGTCCACATTAAGTAATGATTTGCAATGACCTTCTCCCTTTTCCTGCTCACAACTCCGCCAACAGCATTTCTTAATGCAAACAGTAAAATCTGAATTACAAGTGTGATCCAATTTTGTTTGACATAATTAGTGGATTAGACATCGGAGAAAATCCACTTATTTTCACAGCTCATTCGACTCCCACCTCCAACTCCCCACCCCCTCCACCACTTCACACTCAGAAATAAAGGTTCATGGAGTACAAAGTAAGAAAGGGTTTTACTTCTAAGGACAATTACAGCTATCAAATTAGTTTTTAAATGACTTCAAGTCTGATCCTTTCTCAATTGGAATTTTTTTTCCCTAAGAAAACAAAGCTGAGGATCTAAACTATAACTCGTGCATTGAAGTATATTACTGAAGGCTGCACATTTTTTTGCAGGAGATTTTTGGAAAGAATTCTTGGTAACTGAAAAGTACTAAGCCACGTAGGTTTGTCTCAGCTTAGCTCCTGGTGACAGATGGCTTCAGGTTCGATTCTTGGCTCTGCCAGCTGTGTGATCTTGAGCAGGTTATATAACTTTTCTATATCTGTTTCCATATCTTTAAAATAGACATGGTTATGAGAGCTAAATAGGATAATGACTCTAAAGTGCTTAGAATGGTGTCTGGCACATGACAAATGCTCATTTTGGTTTGTGCTATCACTTTACACCTAGAGCCCAGATGGAGAGAACAGCCATACCCCAGCCCAGTCTCAGCCCCTATGACACAGAGACAAGAGACACAGGACCACGGCAGAAGCTTGACCCACCTTGAATAGCTCAGAAGGTTCATTAATTTGTGGTTCATCCAGTCAGCACTGCTATGTCATGACTTTTCTGAAGAAATAGATGACTAATATGACTCACTCTGATGTGGTAAAGGCTTTACTGAAGAAGAAAAAAAAAAGCTACTTACTGCCATTTAATGCCACAATATAGGGCCACAAGCAGGGACAGGGAGGGAGGGTGAGAACAAGGAAAAGGACTTCTCACATTTTCTCCTGGATCTCTTCCCTCCCAAACGTCTACAGCAGCCACCTACAGAGTGAATGAAAATGTCACATGCTGATTTGACAGAAACTCCTCTTGTTACCAAAAACAGCCTAGGATAGCTTTCTTGTTGTCTAGGTATCATAAATATGATTGGTGTCATATAAATGCTTTAGGTACATTTTCCCATCATACACTCAAGATCTTTGAGGCAAATGTCAGTATTACTTTTGCTTTACAAGTGAGAAAACTGAAGTCCAACAAAAATCAAAGTAAATGCCCAGGGTTGCAGAGCTTATAAGTAACAGAGGTGGGACTAAAAACAGAAAACTATCAACTCAGAGCACACACTCTTCACCTCAAGACCCAGTGTCCTTACAGCTTCCTAGAGGTCAGAAAAGGTGTCAAGAACAGAGTTTGGAAAGCTGGAGCTAATGAGCAATGATAGCACCCCCTTGTCAGATTGCAAGGTAGGGCCAGAGTCTCCTGAGATACGGTGAAATAAGAAGAGTCACTCAGGTCACAAAGACCTCTTCCCAGTGAACTCAAGAATCTCTTTCAAAAAGCATTGTGACAATCTACCATGCCTCAGTTCAAATCTTCCCCTTCTCTGCATGAACAACTCTGAATTTACTTGACCACTTCTTGTAGGCATTAGCCTAGAGAAGGCACTCAGAAAATAGATGATGAGGTAAATTGCTAGAATGGGATTGTTTTCCAGGTAATCCTAATCAACCAAGGTCCACTGCCTTCAGGAGGTGCTAGGCTCAGGGCTGCAAGGGTACAAAGTTTTCAGACACCATTTCTGATCTGAAGCATCCAATCTAACGAGACTCCACGGCAGAATATTGAGTCTAAGGATGTGCAAACTGGGGACTGAAGGGAGGTGTGATCTGGTGGGGGCAGGAAGATTCCTAACAGACTGGATGGTCTGCAAAGCTATCAAGATTCCTGGCTCCTCTCTGGAGACCTTAAAGACAGCCGAAACATCAACAAAATGAAGTGACAGCAGAGGATGTTCTAAGCAAAAGGAACAGCACATTAAAAAAAACAAAAATAAAAGCCAGCATCTCATAAAGGAGATCTCTGGCTACTGAAAACAGAACTTGGAAGAAATTTAGAGAGTATTAAGCCAGGCTTGGCTCTAGGAAATATATCCAAATAGGCTGACAGAAGTTCCTGGACCTTGTTGTGATCCAAAATTCACAAGTCTTCTGGCGCTGTTTTGGGTTCCTTACTTGGATGAGAGTTTTCCTTGTAAATATTAAATTGACTTTGTAAAAACATGAACTTCGAAGTCAGACAAACCTAGGCTCAAATCCATCCTTCTCTACTCACCAGCTGTCTAACCTTTCCACATCTCATCTCTCCCTCCTGGGAGTTGAGGTTGTTAAAAGGAATAAATAAAACTGTGCATGCAAATGCCTATCAGTGAGACTGGCACAAAGCAGGGGATCGATAAATCTTGGTTCTGCTAATAATGTGTTTCATTTGAACTTCAGCCAACTGAGAGTTTCCCAGTTCCTGGTTTTGAGAATTTGTAAATATGAGAGACCTCATCTCAAGGTGTCTTAATTTGTTTTACTCTGCTATAACAGAATACCTGAGACTAGGACAGTTATAAAGGATAGAGACTTGTTTGTTAAAGTCCTGGAGCCTGGAAAGTCCAAAGTCAAGGGGATCCATTTCTGCCCAGAGCCTTCTTGCTGGTCATCCCATAGCGGAAGGGTAAGAAAGCCAAGAGAGAGGAAAAAGGACCAAACTCATCCTTTCATTGGGAGCCCAGTTTCATGATAACAAACCCATTCCTATGATAACAGTATTAATCCACTCTTTAGGTCCCTCAGTGGATTAATCACCTGTTAGAGGTCCCATTTCTCAACACAGTTGCATTGGGAATTAAGTTTCTACCACGTGTTCTTTGACAGACCCATTGAAATCATAGCACAAGGTAAAAAGAAGAGATGGAAAAGTTAAATGTTTGGCCTATATTTTACATTACTCACCTATCCCACTCCGCAGGGAGCATAGAACTCCACACATGCAAAGCTTTGGGAGGGAAGAGGAATCATTCCGAGAAAGTACGCGGGTATAGTTATCTGACTTTTTTGAAGAAAACCACATTTTTCTCTTTTAATAAGATCACAAATTTCACAAAGACTTTATGCAAACACATCACTATTACTATCAAGAATATTACCAAACAAGAAAGATGACTAGTTTTTTTAAAGTTAATTCACAACCATTTAGATAAAGGTTGGCAACCCTCTTCTGTAAAAGGCCAGATAGTAAATAGTTTAAGTTCTGTGATCCATCCAGCCTCTGTCGAAGGTGCTAACTGGGTTCTTGTCATGTGAAAACTCACGGACAATACAGAAATGAATGAGTTTGCCTATGCTGCTATAAAAAAAAACTATTTATGGACAATGGCATTTGAATTTCATATAACCTTTACATATAGAAAATATTATTCTTTGTTTTTTCCCCCAACCACTTAAATTTTTTTAGTTCTTTAGCTCACAGAGCTCTACAAAAATAGTTAACAGGACTTGGTCAAGGCGACTGTGCTTGCCAATGCTTGACTTAGACACTTAAGCCTTAACTGAATCTCAGGAGGTATCATGGGCAACTCCCATGTAGCATTTGAAGAACACACTGGCAAAGGGACAATTGAATTGTTGAAAGTCAGCTGGGTCTCTTAGATCAATCACCACCAGAGGCTCCATACTCGACACTGAGTATGGCTGTGAAACACCAGGAAATTATCTGTTCAAAAATGGAAAATCCAGCCGGGTGCAATAGCGCATGCCTATGAAACCAGCAGCGTGGTAGGCTGAGGCAGGAGGATCTGAGTTCAAAGCCAGCCTCAGCAAAAGCGAGGCGCTAAGCAACTCAGTGTGACCCTGTCTCTAAATAAAATACAAAATAGGGCTGACGGTGTGGCTCAGTGGTTGGGTGCCCATGAGCTCAATCCCCAGCACCAAAAAAGAAAAAAAATTGAAAATCTCTCTACTTCCATTTTCCATGTGTTAGATTCAGTGTCAGATGGCCCCACTTCCTGCATTTTTCAGTTTACTTTGCATTTTATAACTTGGTCATTGAAGACTCTCTTAGAAGTGAAGTTGTGCGCCCTGCACTCTGCATGTGGTGCAGACACACCCTGCAACGTGGGAAGCGTCTCCAACCCTGTCATGTCACCTTCACACGGAACTACCGGAGGAAATACACACTACAAAATGTAAAAGGCCATTTTCTCTTTTAAAAGTTGCTTTACATATTTTAATTCTTGTATTTCCCTTGGGGGTTAGATATTTCGGTCACATAGTTATCCAATTAAAATGAAAACTCTCTGCTTTATCCTTTAGGCGAGGACAGCTGCCAGCTGCTAAGTTTTATAAAGTCTTTAATCTTGTCCATAAATATTTAACAAGAATTGGTTGGTACACAAGCTGGAGTAAAGTGAGAAATCAAAGCGAGAATCTTAGAAGTAACCTCTATTTTGTGTGAAAGCGATATAAAACAGAAAGAGAATGACCGATTTCCCCTTTTTTTATTAAAATATAAAATACTTCTGAGTGTTTTGATCACTCTTTTTAGCCTGCTTGTCCTCACAAATGTGCTAAAATAGCTAGATTATAAAAAGACATTAAATATGACTATCCGTGCCCTTTTCTCCAGTATCCTGCCATTTGTTTCAGAGCTGGCCGCTCATGTTTCCATGGAAACCCACATGGAAGATCTCTAAGAACTTATAGCAGCATTTGATGATGTAGATCCCTCCATTTTATTCTCTTCTTCCCCGTGCACACATGCACACACACACTCACATACACACACACCACAAACCTACACTCACATCAACGGCAGCATCATCCCACGCCACTCTGTCACAATATAAAAAAAAAATGAAACAAGATAAAAACTCACAAAAAGTAACCAACCTCATACAAACTAAAAATCCATATCCTTTCCTTGGGTCTGCTGAAGAGGGGATGCTGTCACTTGGCCTCATGGGGATGCAGACTTTTCCTCTTCCCTGTCCCCATCTACCTCTCTCTCTCAGTTTCATTTTGCAAGTCCAGACCTTCCAAGGAGTCTCCTCTTTCACCCCCTCCCAGGACAGAGGAGCCTCCGGAGGCCCTCTGTTCATTCTCCTGCCCCTCATGGGATCACAGACCGCTCTGGAGAATGAGGAACAGATGCCACTGGTATGGATCTTCCAGACCGGAGGGTTCCCTCAATTCACTTCAGTAACTATCAGATTACTGATAGTTATTACTGATAGCGATTACTCTTCACTAATAAGTGAAACTAACTGAAAAGTCTCATCTGTACCCAAAGTTCACTTGACTGTGTCCTTACTCTGCCTGTGAGATTAAAATTGAGTGGCAATCGCTTTCTTTATTTCAATGCAGATGAAAGAGAACCAAATGTCATTATGTTCTGTATTGTGTGTATATACAAATATGTAACAACAAATCCCGTCAGTAGGTACAACTAGAATGGACCATAAAAAAAAATGGGGAAAATAAAGAAAATAAAGAAAGAAAAACAAATGGAAGGAGAGAAGGAGGAAGAGAGAATAACATTAATGGATGTTCCTAGCCTTCATTATGCTAGTTCAAAAATTCTGGGCATTTAAATTGTTCTTTATTTTTTTGGAAGTACTATTTTCCATTGCTTTAATCCTGCTTTAGTTTTCTCCTACCAACCAAACTTAAAGTTCCCTAGGCCTTGGAGGTTGCTTCCCTCTAGTGGTTGCCTGTCCCTTTATAGCAAGCCAATATGGCCATGGCTCACTCAACATTTCCTTCCCTCAACAACTACTTCAAGAGTTATCTACTATTACCAGACACTGTTCTAGGCCCTGGGCATATAACGATGAACAATGAT